TGTACTGGCTCGACTTCTGGGTTCTCGTTCTTTACAACGTCGTCTTGAGAGTTGTGGCGTACTATGTGATTCGGTGGAAGCTTCATCACTCTCAGTGATGCCGGGTATCCCCATCGAAAGTCTTTCACGTTTATATTGTCAAGTTTTCCAACTGTTGGTGTAAGGAGTTTGAGGACCAGGGAAGATCTCTGGAGACAGAACGGGCATGTATGTACCTGGCTTCAATTTATGGTATCCAAAGGATCACCATTTCGAATTTTTATTCATGGAATGGAGGTTGAGTAAAGTTTTTAGAAGACAAATTTGAAGCATTTGATATATGCTCTGGGACTCGGACACACAAATATTCTTCTAGTATCTCCCATAGCTCTCACGCATTTCACAAGTACTGAAGTGCTGATCAGGAAAATTATTGCGGATTGATTTCTTCTCGCGTCTCTTCTCACCAAATCTATGAAGAAACTACAGATTGCTTCAATGGAGTAGAAGCAGACCCAGAAACTTCTGAAATCTTTATTTATTTATTTTTTACGAAAAGACGAAGGAATCTCCATACCCAAGACGTTGCTCAGCCAGTGAGAGACGGAAGCCTTCCAAGGACATCTCGGCCCCGGCAATAAGTTCCAGTCTGAAATATTACTGGTTTTACTCGGTTTATGATGGATTTTCCGGCAGTTGGATTGCCGTGCAGGAAACATCATTGGATCCAATTATGATTTAGAATATTAGATTTTACCGCGTGCAAAAGTAGAGATCCGGCGGAATACAGCATGAAATTCCAGCTGGGAATATCATACTAATTTACAAATATTCTGGCTGTAAATGATGCGATTCCGGCTGGAAGTGGCTAAAATTTGAAGAGCTTGCTCTTTCTAGCTGGATCTTCTAGCTGGGCCGTATAATAAACAAGGGTTGCTTCCAAAGCCGGTGGTAATATATTTGGGAAATTCATAAAAAAAATGCTCTTATGCTATCCAGACGAATGCGAAAGGAATATAACAATGAATGAGAAAGTGAGCGTCAGGACCGTGACGGAAGTCGCTTTGTCGCATGTCGAAACCTAAATAATGACAATGAAATCATGTCATTCTCATTATTTACAGTAATTGTTATCATTATGATGAACATTATTCTAAATGGCATTGCCCTGTGGACCGTACCTAAAAATCACGATTTGAGTATGAGAGCATTACGCGTCACATAGGGATTTACTCAGAAGATAAATTAGGAAATATTTGCAATTATTGCAGGCAATTATTAAAGCACAGATGTGGGAGCGTGAAGAAAAGTGGTTCTCGGAAAAATATTTTATTTTCGAAGGGAGCTGCATATATTTAACTTGAATAAATATAGGATTTAATAAAACGCCCTCTTGTTTATCATTGGGTTTATCAATACACAATACGAGTACCTAATATGACGTTGTACCGGGACTATCAACAAATAAATAATTTGATGCTCGTTCTCACTCGTCTTCTGGACTAGTCAGCTTTCAGCAGGAAAATGGCAGCTAATTTAATACATAGCAAAGTTTTTTTTACCGCTGAATACGACGAAACCAATTTCGTTTGATGAAGATAGTAATCACTTTTCACCGAATTTTCCAACTGAACCCCTTATAAACTGAATGAAGAATGCCACTCATGTACAGTAGTTAAGAGGATGCCCCAATAAAAAAAACGGCCTAAAAATGAAAATAAAAACTAAAATACAAAGTTCAACTGGGCCCATGGACAGCACGAGCCCGATCTGCGTCAATCCTAATAAAAGAGTTGATTTTCGGAGGAAATCCCTAAATACGAGTCTCTCCGATTGACTGACAAGACCGCAATGGCCCACAGGGAATACGGTATTACAAAAAAAGGCCAAGGAACTTCCATGGTCGGTTTATATTGATTCCTATCACGATGGAAAAGGCAACAATAGAAAGTTGTTGCGCCTGGATGACGGTTGGACAGACGGTCACCCAGCTGCAAATGGCCATCATCTGAGTCACCAGCAATGACAATAGATCAGTTGGAATTGCTGGGGTTTTGCTGTGGGCAAAGTTTTCTCTACTTGTACCATGTATCCAATGATATTAATATTCAATAGCTCGCAATATTACTTAATAATAATTATATCATTAGTATTATTTTTGCGTATGGAAAATAAATTAAGTTTGATGCATTTCCATCAGGGGTGGACAAAATACGGCCTGCCTAATGATTCCATCCGGCCCCCATCTCTGTCTAGCTAAGGAAATAATTATACTTTGTTCAGTCATAGGAATGATCAATTTTAATCACTGAAGGAGCTGAGCTTCCTCATTTCGTTTGTCTTAATTAGGCCCTCTTCCCCTTCCTTTCCTCTTCTCAACTCCCCTCAGAAAGCATTGTTTCGACTGGAGCCTTTTCTAGAATGACACTTGGGATTCAGGTTATTAATTATTAATATTTAATAATATGAATCATTTTAAAAGTACAATAGCGAAAGATCTCACAAATGCAAAATACGATTTTATTCCTATATTGCCTTAATGAAAGGGTTAACACGATTAAATTCAGGTTATTAATTATTAATATTTAATAATATGAATCATTTTAAAAGTACAATAGCGAAAGATCTCACAAATGCAAAATACGATTTTATTCGATATAACGGAATTACTTTCCCAATTGTGCTAATTTCTACTTACTGGACTTTACACAAACTCTCGCTATATGTTCAGAAGAAACACTCTTAGACCTACCAGCTTTCTGCACTACGTCATCTTCTTCGTGTTGTCCAGTTTATACTGCATAGGAGGGAATAGGACTGACAAGCAATGATTGTGCTATTGAGGTATTCACCCATATGTTGAAGTGCAGCCCGTGAAGCTCACCAAAACTCGCGAAGCCAAAATAATTGCTCATCCATGCTTTCCATGAAGATGGAAGCACAATCAATAATTACAATTTTAAAATATTCTTTGGAATGTTCTTCAGGTTTTTTTTAATATCTTATTCCAAAAATTAGAATGAATTTATGGGTGAGGGTATACGTACCGTTTCAGGCATGGCTGAACCCCACAGGAGCTGAAAATTGCAAAACAGCACTTCACAACCCTCCTGCTGCTCTGGGAGAGCTGCTGGAGGGTTCTGAAGCGTTCGCCATTGGGAGACCGCGATCGGATGCAAAGTCTCTGCAACTCTTCACTCGTTCCGCTGCTCCTGGGATTGGCCTCCGTGAGTTATGAAGAATCAAGCAAATCCACCTCTTTCCTCGAAAGAAGTCGTAATTGTGGATCGACGGCATCGATGTAACTACTGTGAATCGGTCACATCCCATTAAGTCACAATGCGATTTGACTTGGGGGGCATTTTCACATGAATTCTTCCGTTGTGATGGAATTTATACGATAATTCGAATGCAAATATGTGAATGGGGTTCTTCCTTCCTTCTGTCTCTATACAGGAAGCCCTGATCTCGAACGTGACAATTTTAAACATCAACTACGAGATATAAGCCAGCTAAGTGAGATGATTTATTTTCGCTTGCAGGCCTTGGAACTTCCTTAGCCAAAACTCGTCGGATTTTGCGACATCGATCTGGATGTGATTTATGATAATTTTTTATTATTAATTTCTGTCCCTTTTTCATTTTCCTCCATTAAGCAAGGCCAACCCTTCCAGATCACGGAGTTCGGTTTTTGTGCATCGTCCGGTCAGGTTTTCGAAACGTTTCGCCATCAGGCCGTTGGGGAATACTACGTTCGAGTCGAAGGCAGACGCTGTAATGAGGTGGGGCAGCGAAGCAACGTTGAACGTTCGTTTTGAATGAAGCAATGATTCGTCAAGGTTTCTCTCAATGTTTTTTTTTTTGGATCGCTGTACTGCAGCGATCCATCAAATGTTTCAAGAAATGTACCGAGGGATTGCCTTGTCATATTCATAGAAATTTGAATGGTTTTCAAGCCTTTCAGCAAGTTGAAAAAATATTGAAGATATCCTGGTCTTGATTTTCTTTGTGTGAATATTCATTGCAGTAAAGAAGTTAGGGCAAGTAAAAATGGTAAAAAAGAATAAGTTAGGAAATACAAGTCAAAGCTAGTGCCACTGATACACGTGAGGACCTCCAGTGGCTAAAAATGGATGCCTTTGTCTCAAAATTTCACTACAGGCCCCGTATGTAGGACTTTTTCTACTTAACTTGTAATACGTTGGCCTGGATTTGAAATGTGGGGAACATTGAACCGTACAATTTCCGAAGGCGTTCCACATCTTGGCATGAAATGTCACGTAAATTATATACCGATCATTCTCCAGAGATCTTCCCCAAACTCATCCAGGTCCTAGAACCTCAAAATAAACAAGTGCTGGAACAAACATTCCCCCTGAGAATATTTCAATAGAAAGGGAATAATTGGTATCACAGAGAGTGATGAAGCTTCCATCGAAGGACAAAGTAAGACACAAAACGCAGGACGACGTTGTAAAGAACGAGAACCCAGAAATCGATCCAGTACACGTTCTCCTCCAAGTCCAACTCCCGCAAAAATTTGTCAGGATCCTTGAACTGACAAAAGGGCTGATTGCACAGGAGGTCAGATCGGTTGTAGCCGTAGATGCACACCATCGTCCCTTCGAAGTAGTATTTGAGGAAGGAGAAACTCCTTCAAGAATTTGTCAGGATCCTTGAACTGACAAAAGGGCTGATTGCACAGGAGGTCAGATCGGTTGTAGCCGTAGATGCACACCATCGTCCCTTCGAAGTAGTATTTGAGGAAGGAGAGGTTGGAAACCCAGCGCATGTATTTTGGTATAGCCTTCACGCTCAGGAAGAACCCCGAGAACAGGAGGAAAGGCGCTATGAACGCTGGACCCACGAAAACCGCCGCCTGCCAAATAAAGCATGCACAATACGGCTGTCATTGAGTATATCTTGACCTTAATCCCAAGTGGCGTATTGGTTCGGCAATCGATATAATATAACCGCTGTATCGATGCTATGAATATATTTCGACATATGTGATGGACCCGCATTGTGCATCGCCATTCGAATTTCCTTCTCAGCAAATGTTGAAAGACAATGCAGCAATATTAATTTATTATTACAATTCATTAGGAACCGGCATGTTTATCCTTTTTTTTTAAATCTCTTTTACTTGGAAAATCGGTTAAAACGAAATAAATCGATATTTGTGGTGCACAATTGGTTCCGTGCGTCGTGCCTGTTACTTGCTATCCACTTTTGGAAATCTGACTGTATATTCAAATCAGTGACAGCTCCATGATTGGATTGCCATTCGTGAATTCGGTAAGGAATGCTTAAGTCATCAAAAATTCCGCTAAAAATAATTGCAGCAGATCCGCTAAAATTATCTCTCACAAGCGCAGGGGAAAGATATCAGCATTTTTATCATTCCATTCCTAAATACTTTTCTGAGCCTCACAGCATAGATGCGATTGAACCGTTTCAAGTCCAGCCCTGTAATAATGTTTCCCTCAGCCCATCCCGTTTTCAAGAGAATGCAACATTAACTTAAATTTAAAAAATTTCCTGAATCATTTTTAGTCATGAAACGCGTAGTCTGGTTCAGCCATACACGAACCTTTGCGGAATATCATCTTCTGAAATTCATATTTTTCCGTAGATAATGAAATACTGATATTAATGAAGTAAATCATTTAATTGCACATAACAGGCCTCTTCAACTCATTATTGCGGCAGATATTTTGGGAAACAGTTCCTCTTGAACCCATATAAACTGAAGCGTTCTAATACCGAAATTCGCACAGGCATCTTCGGGATCCGCCTGTGAAACTCAGACCTCTGAATGTCAAGAAATGATGGAAGATGGAAGTTTCAAGTCTGCATTGCATTTGCCTTTGAATTGCATCCGATTGCAACTGACTACTAAACGGCATTCTTCCGGGCCACAGGTTTCAGTTTGAACTTCATTCGATACAGTTTGAGAACTAATGCATTTTTCCTTGGTTATTAGGGAAAGAACGGCACTGATACTTGATGATAATGTAGTTATTTAGGACGAACTTATCGGAGCTTGGAAAAACGATGACTGGACTAATAGCAAAAAAATAAACTCTTTTGTAGACAATTATTTTATAGAAATCCCTTACCTTCTTACATATTATAGTCAAAATAGTTGTAAAAAATTTCCAGCAAAATGAAGCAAAAACCTTGCGAGATCCTCCCCCCTATCAAAAAACCAAGGGAATAAGAAAGAATATTATTCTATAGAAACAAAATGAAGCTTACCATGTTTCGACCTCCCTGAGAAGTGAAGCAGAAAGAGAACAAGAAAGTAAGCCAATATTGCAGCTGACGTATGTATACACCTGGGTTAACGTTGGGATATCACAGAAATCTGGAGCTTCAGTGCTAGTTAAGTGTTAACTTTCATGGAAAGTGTTTTTTTTTTCTATGACTCATACGGTAGAAAAGAAAATGGACGAATTTTAGTTCCACCATGGGTCTCAGAAAAGAGATATTCTCTCCAGTCTAGTCATGTTGTGGCGGAAGTATCAAATACCACAAAGAATGGGACATTTCATCCTGGAACTATGGGGATAACAAGGGAATACCGTGGTATATTCATATACTGAATACATTCTCGTATATACAGGGTTATTATAAAGTCACCACCCTGTTTTGATTGACTACAACTTATTAAGGGACAGTCAGATTCAAGTGATATTTGACAGAGACGTTCATGAGTCAAGAAGGTTTCCCTCACTTTGGAAGATGACGCTGCATGACAATACAGGGCGCTGATGTCGACGCTTGCGCCGCCTATGAACTTGCTGCTCAAACAAAGTTGAATGGTGGCTTGCATCAATCGAACTTTGTTTAGTCATACCTCTTTAAGGAACAAGCGGATGCAGCTGATGCTTGACAGAGATGTACATGGGTCTATAATATATTCGTTCCCTTGCTCGGCACATGCTTGTACTTATTGACAGGGGCCCGCTTTTTCTATTCTTTAAGAGTAGAAATCAATCAGAACAAAAAAGTTTCAAGCTCACCTGGATGGGGAAGAGAGTCCCAATCAACAGTCCCAGAGACTGAGCAAGAACGGAGACGAATACGCTGATGACAAGATAACGAAAAAATCTATGAAAGTCCATTGGCTGTGCAGTCATGTAGTAGACGATCACCAGATATACGAGAGTACAAAAAACCTGCAGAAAAAAACACCATAATTTATGTTGAGGATATCTGCAAAAAACTAAGTAGATATGGAATCAGGTCTCTCACGGAGAAGGGGACATCCGCCATCGTCTTGGCCACATAGTATGCCTTGAGAGAGTACCACTTGTTGAGAATCTCTTTGAGCAACACAGGGACCTCCAATGGATCTGGAAGCGCAGCAAGGTGTAAGTTAGTTATCCAGTGGGAATATTTGCATATGATGAATGCATGAGTTCAAGATCGAATGCTGTGTCTGAGCAGATCCTCAGGAAGATTCAACCTCCGAATATCGTCAGTCTCGTGATTCAATCCTCTGGAGGGTGGTGGTCCCCGTTTTTTTTAAACACTTTCTCATAACATTCATAGTGCTTATAACTTGGTGGATAAATTCTGCAGGCATCTAATATGACGCATCACGTAGTTCCTTCTTTGCAGTTTCTTTTTTGCCCTTTTTTATACTTGATATATACATATTTTCGTGTTTGATTTAGAAAAACAAAATGTCCTCTAAAGGATTAAAGGGCCCAATACCATCGTAGCTCACAAAATTCAATTAGTTTACCAATTAACCAATCCTAAAAGCTATTGCAGGAACAGAATGGTCTCACTTTGACCTTCCAGGCATAATTATTCTCCCTTAACAGTATAAAAATTAGCTGTGCTCATGTCGGATGTTAGTGGGCGATACTCACTTCCTAAATTACTTTTACTATTACAATGCTCATATTAGTAATAGTCATCTAATGCCACCCTTCACTGAAACATAGACTAATAGAAGTTCCTCTGTAAGAGAATGTCTTCTATTAGAACAGCGTTCTTTGTCCTTAATTAGCATGATGGTGAGAATCGTGTAGGCACTCTCAATAGCATTAGATTTGAATTCATATAATCACCAGCATTTCGCCACTGCACCAGAAACTTCCAATGAAAATGGTATTTCTTTGAACAGAGGAACGTCGATAAGACTGATAATATCCCAATATCAATAACATTTTGAGCAGGGTTCTGATGGGGAGACTCACACGTCACAACGGTAGGCATCATAGCGGCGAAGACGACGAAAAGGATGGTGAAGAAGAGCGAACTGACGTTGTGGTACACGCTCGAGGCATCGTCGCCCTTGCCAAAGAAGAAGATCCCCATGAAAAGACCGACCATGACGTGAGCCGCGACTCGAACGTACAGCAGCCACTGTGTGTGTTAATAGGTTGGTTCTTGTGAATCCCACGAAAAAGGAAGGATATCGTTCGATCGAGTTTCATAATTCCATGGGCAAGACTCACCAGATCCCTGCTTGTCGTCTTGAGACATCGCAGATACAAATACTGCACCTGAGTCTTGAACGACACGGAGTAGTCGGCCGTGTCATCGTCGACCACCTCCTTCCTCGTCTCCAGCATATCCTTCACCTTTCCCCACTTCTCTGTGGACACTTCACAGTATCGCATTCGGTGAAGATGGACAATCGCCGAGAGCAATCATCGCCTCGTGATGTCTACGTCTGGCACTCGGTTAACCAGTAGGATGAGCTATAACAATAGTTACTGATTGCATTGAAAAAAAGACTATCTGTACATCGTAATATAGGGTGAGGCACAGGAGAGATTGTGGTAAGACGGACTAACTTATTTACCAGTTTTGACTTACAAATTAGTGTAGTGTTCTAGGGAATTTATAATACGACATCATTCGCTCTACTTTTGCATACATTACTTTTTTGTCGTAAATTGGTCCTCCTTATTCCTTGTTTGGAAATTCATGTTCAGGAAGAGCGATTTGTTATAAACAAAAAATTGCTGGAACCTCGTAAATTTTTCCTCAATACGCATGGTCATCTTCCAGACATTGCAAGTCGTCGATTGAAGCATATTCACAAGAATAACGGAGATTACCCCGTTAGTGTTCATTATTGGAAAAACACAACTTCTTGAAGGCATCTGAATATGTCTTGAAGACATATTCAGATATTATCCTTGTGTGGTTTTGACACCGTTATTTACTCTGGAAATAGTTTCGCCAGGTATGTTGATACAGTTACATTCCTTCTAAACCTACGTAACGCAAAGATGGAACTTCAACATTTTTGTCTACACCGATCAATAAACGTTTATTCGAGGAAGATATGACTGACCAAATAACTGAATGAGAAATTAGGTGTAATACGCTTATTCGATTGGGATGCAACTGTGATTCAGAAAATGTATACCGGGTTGGGCAAAACAAACACTACACCCAACGCTTTCCTGCCATTCGCGACAGGGGTATTTCATATTGGCCAAAACAATTTTTATTAATCTTATAACTGGAATACCAGTTATAAAATTAATCAATGATACCATCAAGCTACGCGAGCCATGATGGGGTACAGAACAGTAAATGACCGCTGTTCAATGTTATGGAAATCCAATGAAACCCCAAGCCCCACTCCCTGAAAAACCTGAAGAGTGGGGAACGGGTAGAGAAACAGATTTTTATTTACAATGGAATGAAATAATCGGAGTTTCCTTCTATTGTTTCTTTTGGTACCACCGCCTACCGCCTCACCTGAAGTCAATATTATTCTTGGAAAGGGGTATGCATTTTTCATCAGAATTCCTTCGATTTTAATATTAAAAAAAGAAATGTTGACATCTGTCCATTATGCGAGCAGTGAGAGAACTTTCTCATTAATTGAGTTTTAAAATACACGAGAAATATCGGAACTGAAATATAACTGGATTCTTACCATGAGAAGCATTAGAAGACTTCCTGTCGGAGTTGGAGGGCGTGTGGGGATCAGGATCCTCCTGCCCGACGGGCAGTGCCACTTCCGCTTTGGCTGCATCCGATAGGACCGTCATTGCTTCTCTCCCATAGAAGCCTGCTGCCACTTCTATCACTGCATTTCATTGGTGAAATAAACCTCTTCAGTTCAAGGCAATCATCTGCATTCTGGGTTAACATGCGTTTGAACTTGGGTGATTAGATGAGCTCATTGAAAATTCACATAATTGCTGCGAAAAGCATTATGCTCGTATCCGTAGGAAAAAAAAGTTACTTTAGGGATGGACTACGCGTCCGACAGTCGATAGGCATCCGGTTCCAAAGCGGCTAAACGGGAGGAAAGGCGGCAATAGGAAGTTTTGTATCTCAAGAACTACTACATGATCGCCTTGGGAAAGTTTTCTGCATGAGGAACATAAACTTCGTAGCACCCAAATAGTCTAAGGAACTACTTTCTGGCTTATTGGATACGTGAAAGCAAGCTTTTTCAGGATGCAATGTGATTCTCCACATCATAACTCCAAGAAAACAATTCTTTGATCGAAATGTTTTTCACACAACCATTAAGTCCTTTCACACCTTATTACATTCTATAAATCAAATATGATAATATTTTTAAAATCGTATTGACATCAAATCACAGTTAGATTTAGCCAACCTCAGCACATCAAAAAAAAGGTGCATACCAAAGTCTGCAGGATTGTGATATGGAGGGCAATGAAGGCCGAACTGGCGAAAGTAGGGCACCAGCGAGGAGATGGTGCCGTGGTAAAGACAGCGGCCATCGGCGAGGAGAATCAGATGATCGAACATCTCGTCCTAGAAGTGCGAGCCCACCACCTGACACGTCTAGTGCCAAGCAGGGAGCGCACGGTTGTAAAAGTCGTCCCAGTGCGTAACGTCTGTTCATCTCGACAGATCAGGTGACGTAGTGGTTAACGTTATAATTGTGAAAGGCATGTAAATCAGAGGATCATCAATGCGTCGAAGACCTCGCAATGTGAGTTCTTTCAGCGTTTTGTCTTCGAAGAAAGCAATGGGCAATATACTTTTTGTAATTAGCTAATTTCCAAATAGAGCAATTCTCTAAATCAGTGGGCTTAATCAAGTAATGCATGAACTAGGTTTTTTTCATGGCGAAAGTTTGATATTTCGGGTTCTCATATGAACCAGTTCATTGATTTTTCCTCATAGTTTTTATACACGTGGAACTCTTAGCTTTGGCTCGTGTTTCATCGAAGGAGAGAGGCAAGGAAACAGGAAGATACAAAAAAGGGAAGACGAAACCATGTAGAGGCACTCATTGACTGCTCTCTACAGTATAAGCTAAACTACGAAAATGTAATTGAAGTAAATGAAATTTGAAAACTTTTAGTAAATGAATGTATGAAACTGTAGTTGTGGTGATGGTGGAATCTTTTTGTAGTGACTGGATGGCACTGACACCTAATTCTTCTTCTTCCTCATGAATGCAAAGCTTTTACATACCTCATATAGGGTAAAACCACTAATGTTCGGACAGTTAAGCTGGTCGACCTTCTTCATTCGTTCGTCCTATCTCAGCGGTAGGATCTAGAAACTTCTTTTTTATGCTCCTGAGAGCACGACACGAGGAGGTATGAGTGCAAAAAATATGCTCTTCTTCTTAGCCTTATGACTACTGGTATTGCCTATAATGCCCATGTCCGAACATAGATGCGGAAGAAATTAAGTTCTGACACTTTTACTATAGTTCGAACTCCCCATTTGAAAGTCTCAAGGACACTTAAAACACTTCTTTTTGGTTTAAATGAATGATAATTCTCTCCCATAGTATTGGATAATGTTAAATATTGTCTAGCATTGGACGACCGTGATTGAGTTAGTGAGCGACTGACTTTAATTCTAACCATGTTCTATATGAGACTAAACGTTCGACCTTGGTACACGAATAAGTCTGATGGTACGGATTTCAGGTACTTTTCATGGGAGAGACGTATCCCATACTTTTTTTGCTCCAACAAAACAGAGAGACATAGAAGCTGAAACACGGTGCATCGGTGCCTATTGAGATGCAGTTTCCAGAGGAAAAATAGTTATTTCTCGGATTCGATCCTAGGGGCATATATTTTTTATGGAACCTTTCCAAGGTATTCCTCTCCAGGGAATCATGGAGACAAAAGGCTGAAACCTTGCTAAATATATACTTGTTGGGATGCAGTAATGAGGGGAAATCCTGTTTTTGGGAGATTATTCTGGGGTACATTTGGGGGAGATCCGTATTTTGAATATGTTTTGCTACATTGAATCGGGCGGTAGCGGATATGGAAACATGCTATTTGGTACGTAGGTTGCTCTACAGTCGCTAATATCTTGGAAAATCCAACCCTTATGGTAAAATCCCTTGGGTGCACATTTTTCATTTGGGTCCCGCTTTCAATTTTCTTTTTCAATTTAAGCAGACCGGGCAGACAGTTTGTTACATTCAGTACACAAGTATTTCTCTGCATGCCTAATTAATAAAAAAATATCCAACTTCAGGGACACATGACCGCTCCGAATTTGGAAGTACCATTCCTGGAAGAAAATATATTTAGCAGACAGGTTCATCGTAAGGAATGTTGACCTTCCGGAAGGACATCTCACACGAATTTAAGCCCTGATGGCCTTTTCAGCAGCCTCGGATCGATAATCCCTCGCATTCCAACCTCCCATCGTGATTGCACTGCTTCGGAGACACGCCGCACACTTAGGTGTGCCAAGATATATACGAAGCTGTACTTTAGTGCATGCGCTCGATGGTGTCCGAAGTTACATGTCCCGTTATGAAAGTTCGGACAGAGCTCCGATATACAGGTTCTCTGAAAAGTATGACTCCACGGAGTTTTGTCAGTTCTAAAAGTTCTTTATCTCAATAGGACATCGTATTTATGCGGATATGACACACGAATGCATGTCGAAACTCAAGTTTCCCAAACATTTATTAACCTAAGTTCAGACACACCGAAAGGAAGACAATAATCTCATCAATGCATATGCATTCTGCGTAATATGTCTCTAAGTCCTCCTATTTTCCTGGGAAGTAAGACTTGAGTACAGAAAACAACAATTTCACGTGTGAAACGTTTTAAAAGTAAGGTTCTTTCCTTACGGTTTCATGAAGAATCCTCCTGTTCGCGATATAGCATTGGCTTAAGCTCAATATCTTGGACTCGTGAAAGTCATAATGACCACCGCTTTCCCTTCGCTCAGTAACATGTTCATCTCATGCTAGGAAGAACCGTTTTTTAAGGCGATCTCGCGAATGCTTAGGTCTGTAACAATGTTTGCAACAGTGTTCGAATGTAGGTACTGTCCGGACTTATGTGGTTTTACCCTAAGTGAAAGTGATTCTTGAACAAGTTTTCCCATTAAAAGGTCATTCTAAATCAATATTAAGTTCAGTTAACTGACTTTTTGCTGAAGGTCTCCCTATACCTAACGAGTCATTTGCGAAAAGGACGGTGTAATATTCTACCCTGAATGAATTAAGCTTAGGATATGGATGCACATGGCTCGTTTCTGCCTACCTGGTGGGTTCGTCGAGGAAGAGGATTTGAGGGTCGGCGAGGAGCTCGAGGGCGATGCAGAGCCGCTTCCTCTCTCCACCCGACAGACACGATGCCCTTGTCCTTGCACAGTCCTGCATCCCTAGATGTTGTAGGATCGCCACGACCTGCAGTCAACAATCTCTACTTCTACAGGATGGACCATAAATATCCATACCATTCGTAATTTTTCTATTCAGGTACGTCTAAAAACATGAAAGACAAAAAGTTTCATATCTTTATGTGAGTGTCTCCTTGGTGGTCAACCTTGGCTATTTTAACATGAATCCTCTTCAGCCTAGAAATGGCTCGAGTTTAAAAAATTGTCTGACCATGAGGAAGAAATTATTTTTAAAAAATACGAATGACACCCATACAACTCTGACCGTACCCAAACGGATTACTGAATGCGATATCTGCTGAAAGCAAGTGTCCATAAACGAAATCCAGCAACATGAATCAGTTAATGTTTGGGACTAGAATGAATGAAACCATGTCCGTCCAGTACGATCGACTGACAGACACAATGATTCCATGTTATCATGAAATAGGGAGACACATCCAACACATTTTGTGAATAATTACATTGAGCCCTTGTGTCTTGTTGAGATTCAATAGGAAGAACTTTCTCCTCCTCGTTTTGTCAATGTAACAACGTTACATTGACAGAACATGATTTATATGGGTAAGAATCCAATATGCTTCTATGTAAATCTATGAAAAAATAATACGCTTCTTTGCTTTATTTAACCCTTTCGCCTCAACTTTCATTGTGCAAAAATTTCAGATCATTCTGGTTTGTTCTTCTATCTAATAACTTAAGCAGAACCACGATTGAGACATCACATATTATTAGGGGTAAATAATGTGGAAATTAATTGGGAATCATAGTTCCCTACTGATTTTGGTGGGAAGTTGGCTTTCCAACGCCGACCTTCGCCAATAAGAATGCATGCGGCGGGAACTATAATTCCTACGACGCAGGAGATGGTTAATATGTCGTTGAACGCTAATAGAAGAGCATGATGCAAATAATTCCACCACACATGGTATAGTATGGAATGTTTTTTATACCAACCGTTCAGCGCATGCTCGGATAAGCTCTGCCAGAGAGCCATGCAGGTGAAGTTAGAAAAGAAGACACGGGGAGGAACATACAGCGGTGTATTTGTCTCTGAAAGACAAGGAGCTGGAGAGTTTGAGGCCGGCGGCGAAGAGCATTGATTCCATGACTGTGAGCGTGGGGACCACTTGGTCCTCCTGAGGGATGTAGCTGCTTTGGTGACGAAACACTCTCAGGTTCCTTTCTCGGCCGTTCACCTCTATTTTTCCGGTCACGTCCTTCTGCCTGAGGGTGAAAAAAGGGTGTGGATTCCCACGCAAAGGAGAAGCTTGGGAAGGAGAGAGGGAGGGGGGGAAAGTGGCTTAATCCCTCCCTAAAAAAAATGGGCGTTGGGGGCTTAAAAGATAATATACAGAATTTGAAGGGGCTACGCCCCAAAAATGTCAATGAGAGGGACGCTATGCTGACCCTTCAGTTTCGTCCTCACTCATTCCCTACCTCCCAAGGTTGGAAACCCCTCAGCCATCTTAACTAATACACATAGACCTTCGCGAGTGACTGACTGAGCGACTGATGCAAATTCTAATCATGCTCTAGATATGGTAGAAACCTGAAAAATGATTTTAAAAAGTAGCTATTACTATGCTGAGTTCAGAATGAATCGTACTTTGGAGGTATATACACTGGGAGCATTGCAAATATTTTTTTTGTGGGAGGGGGTGGGGACGTTTCAAATTAAATATTTAATTTTCAGTCAAATGGAGGGGCAGGGAAACCTAAAAATAGGCATGAACGTGTCTCGTGATATGCTGATTCCAGTAATAAAAAAATTCATTTACTGATACTTCCTCTGTGGCTTTCTTAGGGAGAGCCGTTTTGCAAGAATTTGTTTTGTCCCAGTGAATCGGGCCGAAGTAGAATGTGAGACTTGGAACACAATTAGCTGTTGTGATCTTTAGTTCGGGAAAACTCTATTTCGATGTTCATACCATTAGTGAAAAATATTTGACTGGGACCTTTCCCCCAAACATTCTCGCTGCAGCGAGACGGGCAAAAGTAAAAAAATAAAAAACATATTTAGGATTGAAATTGTTCCTGGGGTTTTAATTTCAGGAAAAATACTAATTTGAGATATATTCCCTCAGGGCATATATTTTAGGGGCAATAATTTATAGGAATTTTCTGAACAGAGAAATGCGAAAATAGAGAAATGCAGAATTCAGTACATAATAATGTTCACCACATCCTGATTTCATGGTATTTTTCACTTTTAGGTTCATCCCATCGGTTCAGTTTTTCAGAGGCATTAATAAGTATTTTAAATATAAATTTTCCAAATTTATGAAAGTGGGCAAATTATCATAGTGGGAAATTTGCTTTCGTCACGTTATCTGAAGTAAATTGATTTTATCCACATGGCCTGAACAATCAGAAGTGACAACCAGAAGTTAGATGTCTTATCCGTAATTGTGTGCACTACCTGCGTGTGTCCTGATTTTTCCAGTTCACTCTGGTTCATTGATTTTTAGTCACTTTCTGCCTCATTACCTTTAGTAGGCTACCTTTAGATCCCAATGCCGTTCCAAATCGAACTTTGGTGCATGCCTAAACGACACTTTTCAAGGAAAATCTTCACTTGCAAGGTTGCCAATTAGAGATACTGTAGGGGAGTATTGCTATAGGGGAGGAATGTGCCTGAATTCCCCTTTAAAAGCACGTGGTGGTAGAGGGATCGTAATCACCTTCTACAGTCCCCACCGCTCTGGAGCCTCAGTGGGAAGGGGCTCATCCTTCCCCGTGCAGCACCAAAACCCAGTCTTTACATGAGCAGCGACGTAGCAACAAATTTCAGGTCGAACTTTCTTAAAGTCCTTAGCAAACTTGTTAGCAGATCTTGGAAACGTCTACTAACAAAGTCTGGGACGGGCAGGGTAAGAGGGGGGCAGAGGGAACAATTTCCTGAGTTCAAATCTGGACCAATCCTAATTTGAGTGGACATCCGGTGAAATTTTTCTTCTACCCTCATATTTTCATTCAGATTAACATACCTTCCCAATTTTTTTTATTACGGAAGCATTTCACCCCGTTTTTCTTATCCTTCCCTTCCCTGAGCATGTGCTACCTATAATTATGACCCGAGATCCATAACATGAGCAGTACCGTTTCAAACAAATGCGATGGACTTAGCTGGCATTGATCTGCACTAAATTGTTGCTCATTATTTATCCATGTACTTGGCGAATAAGGGACATATTAAATTTATCTAAGGATAAGTACTGCAAGAAAAATTTTTTTCGGAAATTTCCATGGGAATAAATGGAACTGTGCGATGAGCCTTTCCAAAGCAACAGTGGTGCATCCCACGTGGCGTAAAGAAACCACCACATAAGGACATGTAACATTGAATCGACAGTTCCTAAAATGTTATTACTGCGTAAACATGCTAGTTCATCTATCGGATCGGTCCAGATGAAGCTAGTAGGAATTCGGTAAGAATGTGGAAGGGATAATGTGGTATAAGCAAAGCGACCTATATCCGGCGAGGATGTTCATGAGGCTGCTCTTCCCCGATCCGCTCGGTCCCATGACGGCCGTCAGCTCCCCGGACTTCATCCGCCCGTCCAGACCCTTCAGGATCTCCTTCATCCCTGCACCACAGCATTCCCGTCTACAGCATTCGTCTCCACCGCGGAAACGACATCGCATCTTCCAACCACGGAGATGACTTGGTTCGTACCTTTTCCTTCATCACGGACCCAGTAGTGGACATCGGAATAAGAGATTTCGAGCGCATTCCTGCCAGGGAGATGCGTAGACCCCGGCAGGGACTCCTTCCTCTTCACCCATATTGTCTGTCTGCCCAAACAAAACAATGACCATTGTGTCCAAACAAATATTTTGCTCATAAGACTGATTCCATAATCTGATTTTATAAAATGATTTCATAAACAGGAATTTAAAATAAATATATTCTCATATCCTTCCATTATTAAAATACATTTCCAATAGGCATTTCACTCCAGCTAGTATTTTGTCTGAAACAAGAAAAATAAATAAAATAAGGAGGATAGGTGGAATTTCGCATTTTGATTCGCTGATGTTTCAGATAAAGCAGGCGGTTCACATTTAGCCAATTTCAGTTTTATCTGACTCGAGTTGCAATGTTGCAAAAACTCATTGTGCTACTGTATAGAATTTCCACTCTGCGCTATTTCCATTCACTTTTTTTTATTTTCCAGCGATTTGGGCATCCATAATTTCTTTGTATCGAAGATGAAGATAAGCCCCTTAGCTAAATCTTGGTCGCGGCTTGCACTTAAGAAAAAAAAAACAACACTTCCTCATCTTAAAAAATGGTAGAACTTGCGTTTGGTCCACTGATTCACTTCTTCACTGGTGCCTAACTCAAGGGCAGACTCAAGGGTGAACCATTTGTGCGATAGAGCTACGAAATTTGGGATTTCAAGAAAATCTTGTGATCTGAGAAGACCACATAGTTTTTTTTTGGGTGAAACATGAAACCTGAAATATCACAGGCTATCATTGCATACCATGCATTCAAGAAAGTTTGGAAATTTCCATCGATTGTTGGAGTTTTTCTTCCGGATGAACCTATGAACATAGCTACAATTTTGTTGTATGTTCTGTTTACGCAGATTCGAGTACATTCCCAATGAAGGATAATTGAACCGACTTTCAGCTGTTATTTTTCCTTCGGTAATTAAGCTACGTTATCTGTAATCCAGCTGGAACGGCTGATGCTTCAGCAAAAGTTTTCCTGTATTGTCCCCATGTCATCATTCTTCATTTTTGTTGTTGTTTCCCAAACCCTTTTCGTTTTGTCTTTCTAAGATGCGGTTTCTCCACTTCCTGCATCGCTATATCATTTCTGGGCGTCCATGGCTTTGGGTTCCATAAAACAAAAGGGCAAAACGCAGTCGTTCGCTGAAAGAGCTGCAAGAGTGCCGGCCGGTTTCTTTCAACATGTTTCCATCATTGTCTCCCACGATATAAGCCGCGAGGAACCATCACGCGCCGGTCGCATGATCCACTCGCCTCGGAAGAGGGCGGATAAGCACGGAGCAAGAATGCTATGGACGCGAGACACTCGTGTTTCAAGGATCTGGTCGGTACGTCGAGAGGTATTTTTCTGTCATTCCTTCCCGTCCCTAGTCAAAGTCCTGTACGCAATGAAGTTGATTTCCCCTCCGCATATGATCACATGCGGGAATGCCTTGAGACAACCTTTAAGATACCCGACTTGCTCCCTTTTCCTTGTTTCGTCCACGGCTAACCCGCTTCTCTACACACTAGTGGGTAGCCCTTGCGAAAGCACGGAAGTATTTAAAGGCAATGAATGCGCACATGGCCATTGGAGGCGGTCACCACACTCCCGCCCCCTGCCCCCCCCCCTCCCCCTGCCCCCCCTCCCCCTGCCCCTGGCTGGCCATGTGAGAAGACAGGACGCGGCAAAAGCACCCCTAATTTCTCGGCCTGCCTCTGCGCTTCCTTAATCGTCATTGCAAAGGACAGGGAATCGAAGCCGAGCGAAGACGAAAGGCAACCCAAAGATTAAGGCATTACCTTAAATCGTTGCCTCGCAGGACAATGTGGTATGTGGGCTTTTATCCGTGGCCTCATGCCACGCTACGTGTACTTGTTGCTGTGGCTTTGGGAGAGTCAATAAGCTAAGAAGTAAGTGGAGATGGCGCACCCATAGGAACATTATAGTTCACGGCGCCTGGTCACCATTCACTATTATGGGATCTCCCCCGATTTTTCAACCCAACTTTCTTCTAAATAATAAAAATCTTAGGAAAACAACCCCGACACAGCAGGCACAGTAGGTTCTCTGAGGAACCAGTAAGCCCTGTTGAGTCGTTCTAAGACTTCTTTTATTCATGAATATTGGTGCAATGCTTCAGTTTAGGCAAAAGGCAGAAAAGAGCGATTGGAAATTGGTCGAAGCAAAATGTCGGCGATTCACGAGCAACTTCATTCATATATGTTCAAAGCGAGCCTGTGGTGCGCATTGGCTGAGTGAAGTAGCAGGTCCCACGGGATCATTGGCGCTGCTGGATACGGAAGCATGCCTGCCGAGACCCGCCAACACCTGCACCTCGTGCTGGCCCTTCGTCTGGCTAAAATTCGTTTGGTTTCATGCCTTTGACCGGGTGTGAAATAGGTCGACGGCGATGTCGCATGGGCGGCGTGACGCTATCACCCTCGCAGGCCAAGCAATCTCAGGGAAGGCAGGCCTGGAGCTTTAGACCGAGAAAATGGGGATTGAGAAAGGGGATGGTCACAACGCCGCCGACGTCACCTTTCCTATCCTATCCTGTGCCATATCGGTGGGAGTCACTCTCCCTTTAATCGAGAGGAGGACGGGGTTCCGATCGATAAAACGGTCAGGATCCTGATAAATATACGGGCGGAGATCTCAAACCGGCAAGGAAGTCATTCTTCTTGCAGAGATGAAAAGGGACTCAAGGGGTAAGGGGAAGTGTAATAAGTGGGAACGTTTTACGCAATCGTCCATATCGTCCTGGGTTCGGTGGTGTTGTGGTGACACACTTAACCGGGAGGTCCTTGGTTCGATTCTCGCCGCCTCCATCATTTTCTTTTCGTCCTCTTATGTCATCCGAACTCTCCCCCCCCCCCCCTCCCCCTCCCTCTGTGGCTATTCCGATCTCGAGAATAAATCCAACAGTCTGGGAAAAAAATGAGAGCCCGAGAGAGGGAGACAAACATGCAGGCAGAAGACTCTATGGAGAAAAACACGCGTGTGTATTGTGTGTGCGGCCACGTCAAGGACCACAGTAGATTTTATTCCATAGATTTTACATATATAAAAACATCCGCAGACTGCGTGGGAAAATGTTGCATTAGTCAGGCTCTCCGAAGACATTTCTCATCCGGAAGCAAATGGCGGAGGATCAGTACGACCTGGTGGGTGAGTTTTAGATTTTTTGGTTTATGATAAACTCAACGGTGGTAATACCACATTTTAAATCACCAAGACGATGATATTCAAGATGAGACAACTGGCGAATGTTCCAGTAGCTCAAGTGCCGCAATTACTGAAATCCAGTCCTTCGTTGGCCGGAGGATTTCCTTGAGTCATGCACACATGCACGTAGATAATTATGAGCAATTATGAAATTCAATTATTTTCATGATTACAGGACAAAATTTCCAATCACGGGGTTCGACTTTCCTTGTCCTGGCTTCCGTTGCAGCCCGGAACGAGTCCGAAGCGAATGGCCTTTCGAGGCAACTTCGAACGCTGAGAAAAAAAATTATTTATTTTGCGCGATTCTCGTGCATTTCCAAGACGATTGCCCATTTCGTGAGATTGGCAGACGTTGTGCGCACGCCTTGAAACAAGCTGCAAAACGAGCTGCAAAATGTGCAAGCGGCGAAACGTGATCAACGCAGGACACGTGGCAGTCGCATTGGAATTGGTTAAATTAAGACAAAAATTGAAATTTTCTGCCGCTAGGACGTGGGACGCACGGGAAATCCTCGGCCGGGTCCAGCGCGGCAGGCCTCCATTGCCTGCTGAGGAATGGCGGATGAGGAAATGTTGACGGGCGATGGAGTCTATGCAGATGGAGGTTTAAAGCTCCATAGCGCTGAGGGAGGTTTAAAGCTCCATAGCGCTAAGGGAGGTTTAAAGCGCCATGACTCGGAATTCAGTGTTATGCAAACCACCCCATGTCGGAATGTCGGTGGCATGAAAGGAGAAGAGAAAGTCGAAGAGGAGGAAAAGCGAGTTCTCTGCACCCAGAGGCTCTTGTTTACGAATAAATATTATAAAATAATATTAATCAAATTCACTCATGGCTGTCTCCGATCGAGATATCGCATAACGGAAAGCGGAATGGCCGCGTCGTTGTCCTGGAGCATCGCAGAATGAAATCGCAGCTGCCAATCGCCCGTGGCATGGATTTTGCAAGTTCCATGCTGCACGAAGCTGCGGCTGCCCTGTTGGACCGATCCCCTTGTCGATCCTCGCCCGTCGGCCGGTTGCGAAAGCGCCGGTCGAATATTTCGCATGGGAATGCCATGCGCTTCGTGATGCCTTCGAGTCGGGGAAGCGACTCATTCATGTTCAGAGGGAATTCGATAAGGAGGGACGTCGTCTACCGTCTGCTGATAGTCTGCTGTCTCCAATTCCGGAGTTACGCCGCTTATTATTTACCATTCATAAACCTTATTCAAGGTTTTCGGGTGTCACGACATTTTTCCCCCTCCATTTGGACAAGTGTCGAGGTCAAGAGTTCATTTAAATAAATAAAATATATAACAGGCTATCTCTCTTAAATATTCTCTCAGGAGCATATCCGTATACTGCCAGGTTAAGTCCAGCTTCATTTCTCCCCTTTTCTTTCTTTCTTTCCATCAGCTAGGTAATTTGTTATTAGAGCCAGCAGCAGAAGCTACACCATCATCTCCTCTAACGCGTTCCAAGCGTTCACTGCCCTACCAATTAATTCCGCATCTTGAGTATTCCTTGAGACGTATGCAACTTTAAGGAATCCCGGCGCTTCGGCACGCCTCTCCCACGAGAGTTTAGAATATGCAAATAATCAAAAATAAAATAATAAAATAATAATAATAAAATATAAAAAAAAACCAAAAGCGGATGATTAAATTCTTACTTGCACGGTGTCTTACTTTTTCCATCTATTTCCTTATTGTGCTTGTGCACTTCGCTCCCTCCCTATTTCTTATCATTTACGCAATGGATGTTTCCCATTTCGTAACTCACTTTCCCGACGCGGGAGGTGACGGAGTCAAGTTGTTTATTTATTTTCCCTCACCCAGCCCCATGTATACACTCCCACTTACGCGTAAGCACCATCGGACTCGACTTGCCCCGCTCTTGCGAGGGAAATCGGGAAGGGAAAAACTCACGGGGGTGGATTGACTCCCGAGGGTCCCGCGGAGTCACGACCTTCAATCATGTTAGAGGAAAGGCGGAAGAGGGCGTGGAGAACGAGGGGAAGGGAAAGGGAACCAGCTGGGCGGCGAAAGAAGGTCCCGCTCCTACTCGCACTTCCACCCCCGTGTGGCTCATAGAAACTGGTCCAGTCCGGTAAGCACACGCTGCCTCCAGTCCTTATCTCCCGGCTGTGGGGAACATCCACCCGCCGTCCCTCCTTTGCCCCCCATCGCTCGAGTCGCTCTGTATCTCCATCACGTAGAATGACTGTGCTCCGACGATTGCGTCAACTGCGATAGATGTCGCTGAGAATCGGCTCTTTGCTTCCTGCGTTTCCGCTTCCCCGTGCATTCCCCTTTCTGATACGTTGCTAAAACTACGGTTATACGTCACGTATGCACCTCGATTAAAGCTTTCTGCTACAATTGTTACACAATCAATTAAACCTAACACTATAAGCCGACGCACTCTTCGAAATGCCGACGCGAAGCCTCTTATTCTGAACTGACTGGAAAATAAATTCTTCAATTTATTTTCCAATAAATTCTTCAATTTATTTTCCAATAAATTCTTCAATTTATTTTCCAATAAATTCTTCAATTTATTTTCCAGTAAATTCGCGGGGACTGTACAAGTGCTCAAATACACTCACTCTCTGCGTCCCAGACTTACACGCGACTCGCACTAAGACAATGCGTCAAACGGAAACGGAAAGGGACTCACGCGGTAGAAGCCAGGACGGTTGCACTCCAAGCGTCCGTTGGATGCCATGCGGGGACGGATGGGCCTGGACGTTCCCTCAGCGCAGAAAGGCTCTTGCGATATCGAGGCACTGAACTAGCATATTCCTCCGACGATGCAGAAGAGTTCCCAATGAGGTTTCACATGGATTCTTTTCGCTCGTTGCTAGCAAGGGAAGGAGACGGAACTTCGTTATTGCATTCGTCGAAGGAGGAAACGGTGCCGAAGGAGGCTCCAGGCAATTCTTATGCAATGGATGGAGAGAGGGTGACCCACCTGGTGACGTCAGACGAAGCAGTCTTTTGCTTACGCCGCCCCAGGCGAAAGAGAATCGTTTACGCATAGGGAGGCAATGAAGAGCGATCCCCATGAGAAACGAGGCAATGAATTTAAAGGCGACGAATGCAAAGGTGATATAGGAAGGGGGCGGTCGCCACCACCCGTCCTTGCCCCCCCCCTCCCCCCCCCCCCCCGATTGGCATTGTCTCAGACAAGGTGAGGCAAAATTATAATAATTTTTCGGTCTGCCCCTGCGCATTGATAATAATCATGCCAAAGGACGCGAAACTGACGCCAAGCGAAGACGATGGGAAGTCCGAAGATCAAGACGTTACCCTAAATAGTCGCTTTGTAGGACAATATGTTACGTGGCCCGTAATCTTGTATTATCCTATTATGTGGCCTCACGCCATTCACATCGCAAACCCCCGCGCACGTTTCGGAAAATTAGTGACCTTTGACCGCACTGTGTGGTCAAAGGTCACTAACACTACTATGGCTACGGAAGAACACATGCGATCGGTCTGTGCGCACGTGTGTGCTATGTGTGCGCGCGCGCATGTAATGTGTGTGCACGCGCATGCCACCGACTACCACAGAGCTTAGTAAATTATATTATTTAAATAGATTTCTGAGATGAACAAAAATGTTTCATTTCCGCTTCGCATGAATATTTAAATCTATAATGATCAGAATGAATCGAACAAACCCACAAATCCCACAAATCCCACAAATCCCTAGCCGTGGCTCCCGTCTTGGCCCTCCACGTGAACCTACTCAAAAGATACCGCATAATTCATGCGAAGCCTGATCGATTTAATGCAGAATGCTCTCCTTAGTTCGAGCGAATTTCGCCGGTGGCGCTAGTGCATCCCAAATTTAAAAAAAGGCTTTATTTTGGCCAGCTGAACAACAGTATGCTACCCGTTTTCGTGGACAGAAAGTGGAAAACCTGCGGGAATTCACATATGAATGTTAACTCATTACGGTGGGAAGTGTAAATAATAGAAAAGCGTGGAAAGGTTAGAAAGTTTTCAGAATGAGGAGCGACAGCTGTTGTGCTTGGACGTCCTCATCGACGGTCATCGAAATTGGTTTGCGAATTTGTATATGATTTGTATGCGTATGTGATAATTTGTAAGTGTATTCGTATGTGATAATTGCAAGTGTATGCGTATGTGATAATTTGTAAGTGTATTCGTATGTGATAATTTGTAAGTGTATGCGTATGTGAATCTGGTTTTATCTGCCCATGAAAAAAAAGCCTTCTGGCGAATGCTGCCTTGGGATCCATTACCGCCACCGGCGATATTCGCTGGAACTAAGGGGCACTTTCTTGATGAAATTGAAAGGACTTTCCGTGCATTATGCCCACGGAGACGGCTTAGACAGGAACAGCCTGTCTAAGTCGTCCTCGTGAATCCGGAAGCGGTATCGAACCGGTAACTGGATTAAACCTACGCGGTGCAGACAGAAAGTCCATACCGCACGCTTCTAGCATACGTTTCTGGAATTAGTTGCAATAAATTAAGGTTGGCCAAGGTATTATGACCATTTGTGAGTCAGATAGCACATTGTGAACATTGTCGGTATTGTTGTTTGTGTGCAGCACTGGTTTTTCGACACGGAGTTTCCCCTATTGTCCCTGAGCAATGGGGATCGCGGAGGAAGAACAAAGAAAGTTATTTACGCTATTTTTCTGGACAAACAGAGCTTAGTTCTACCTCACGTAGTTCCTAAAGGTGCAACCAATAATGGAAACTACTATAAAAAGTCTTACAAACTGAGCTTCACCAGCAGTAAAAAAAATTGCGTCCGTTGAAGGCCGATGACTAGTTCATTATTCGCCTGGACAAATGCACCACCACACAAGGCAGGTGTTGTAACGGAGATTTTTTTTAGAATATGCTATCGAAGCCTTCTGGTGTCCTCAGAACTCGAGGATTCGTTACAGAGTAATATGTATGGCTCCCGGCAAGCCGGTAGAACTGCAGTTTACCAGTGCTTTAAACTTTCACCTGAGAAAGCATTTCCAGTTGATCATGTTGAGGAATGACTGCAGTGTCTATTCCGAACACCTGACTGTAAATGAGATATGGCTCGACGGTATGGGCTTTCTGACGGCACCTCGTACTTCGCAAAAAAGGAAGAATTTTCGGGAAAACGTCACTTCAGCCCACGATGAACACAATAATGCGAAGATGCGATGCTTGCATGGAACGCATCAATTACAGCAAAAATGCATCATATGGAGACAAAATGTTCTAAAAACTTCATCCTGCTGAATAAAAAATCTGAATGCGATATCAAATCCAGGCAATAAGAACACGAATATGCAAATATATAAATTCAAATTCAAATGCAAATTCAAAGATCAACTAATGGTACGCAATTTCGCTTATTTAATGCGCCAGACGATTGTATCTCCTTCTCTACGGTCTTTTTTATCTTTGATTTTCACTTGTCCTGGCTGGTGTTGGGAAATACGCAAGCTAACAGCCAGCTCTTCCCGCCCCGGAATATCTCCAAGTTCACCCAAATCTGGATTGACGCTCTTGTTCCTCAGATTGGTCAAAGGATTGTGCCAGCCTTCTCAGCGTTGTTCGCTTGCTGGTATTCCCCGCGACAACACTGCAGTTCTCTTAGATATCTTGCCTTCTCTGCAAACCAGATGTCGATGAAATGAACGTGGAACAGTGTCACGTGAGGACACACTGCCTCGCATGACTTCGCAGCCACCTTCAGCCACGCGTCATTCATTAGGCCAATTGGCACGTTTCACAAGGTCACAACTATTGGAAAAGGATCTTCCAGGAGAGACCTAGGAGTTGTATGGGCTTTTGACAGCCGCAGGCTATGAATCTTACGAAACAATCCTAGTGGAAAATGAAACTTGCACCCGTGCATCACAATTCCGGGGAACAAAATTTGGAAAGCAGAAATGAGCACCACCTCCAAATCGCACCTTACTAATGTCACATCCTCTGCAAATCCAAAGTTGAGCAACATCCTCCGTGAGTTTCGTTATTGAACCTTTATTTATGGAATCCCCTTCCTTTCTTTCCCACCCCCCCTTTTCCTCCCATCCATTCGTGTGAAAGTCAAATGCGACACTGTCAAATGCGACACTCTCCAAATCATGTTTTCAGTTTTTTGTTTTTATTTTCTCGGTTTGTTGGGAAAAGGAAACGGTGTCGCAATTATCGCACAAATTAACATATCCTCCTCACAAAAATTCTGAGAAGCAAAGAGACACAGCAGAATCCCACCCAGGGAACATTCTCCCAAAATGTGGAAATCACATTTTGCATCATCGGGCACGATGAAGCTTCCACCGAAGCACAAAATAAGCCAGAAGGCGTAAGATGACGACGAAGAGGAGCAGGACCCAGAAATCCTTCCAGTAGACGAAATCGTCGATGGTCAATTCCCGCAGGAACTTGTCAGGATCCTTGAAGTGGCAGTAGGGCTTGTCGCACTGGAGGTCCGGACGGTTGTTACCGTAGATGCAGGACATCGTCCCCTCGAAGTAGTACTTGAGGAAAGACAAGTGGGAGAGCCAGCGCAGGTATCCAGGAATCGACTTCACGCTCAGCAGGAACCCAGAAAACAGGATGAACATGATGATCGCCACAGGACTCAGGAAGGCTGCCGTCTGCAACGCGGAAAAAGTCACCACGATAGAGATCTGTGAATTCCTGAGACATGAAATTTTC